GCAGATGTGCAGATATGCAGATGCAGCATATGAAGCATATGTGCATATGTGCACATGTGCATATGTGCATATGAAGCATATGAAGCATATGAAGCATATGAAGCATATGAAGCATATGAAGCATATGAAGCATACGAAGCATATTGATTGAACCGGCGATGCTGAGGACAGACGGAGGGACTGAGAGACGGACGGCGAATCGGCCTAAGGCCTCTGCTTTCCTACTTCGTAGGAGCTACGGCGACAGACGGACTAGAGTGCGCTGTTCGTGCGAGTGGGCCGTAGCTCCGTCGCTGAATTGCGTGTTGCACGACGCTGTCTCAAGCGTGTACAACATACCATAGCGCGAATTGCGTGTGGCATGCTGAATTGCGCGCTGAATAGCGCATTGCACGGCGCTGTCTCAAGCGCGTACGGCATAGCGCATAGCGCGTACAGCATAGCATAGCATAGCGTGTACGGCATAGCATAGCGTGCACGGCATAGCGCGTACGGCATAACGCGTACGGCGCGTACGGCGCGGTCATGCTACACGCGGTCATGTTACAAGCCTTAAATGTGGAGAGTTCCACGCGCAAACTCGAACACGCAAAGTACGGCATAGCGTGTACGGCGCGTATGGCGCGTATGGCATAACGCGTACGGCATAGCGCGTACAGCATAGCATAGCATAGCGTGTACGACATAGCATAGCGCGTACAGCATAGCATAGCATACAGTAGCGCAGCATAGTGTAGCGTAGTGCAGCATAGCATAGCATAGCGTGTACGGCATATTATAGCATAGCATAGTTCGTACGGCATAGCATAGCATATCGCGAACGGCATAGCATAGCGAGCACTGACAACAACGAGGCGCAGTCCGCAAATTTGCCGTGCCATAGCTAGGATGTCCGCAAAGTGCCATAGCTAGGATGTCCGCAAGGTGCCATAGCTAGGATGACACATGCGGGCGTAGCGTGAAAAGGTGCACACGTAAAATTATGCAGTTACGCAGTTATGCGCAAAGTTACACACATGCAAAGCCGGACGCGGATGAATTGAATCCGCAAAGTGCAGCGTACAAAGTGTAACGCGTGAAGGTTAGTGCGGCACAGAACTGAGTATGTAAAGTTGAGGATGTAGTGTTTAGCAAAGTTCGAAGCACGTACAAAATTGGGCCTGCGACAGTTGCACTTGGTTGACAGTTGAACCGAATTGCGTTCTATTGCGAAAAGTCAAACATGCAAAGTCGAACACGCAAAGTTTGATGCGGAGGAATTGAATATGCAAAGTCCAGCCCGTGAAGTTAAACGCACGAAGTTGGATGCACAAGAAAATTGGACGCGTAAAGTTCAACGCGTAAAGGGTATTGCGGAATCATATATGCAAAGCTCAGCACGCAAAGTTTAGTGTGCAAAGTCCTCAACGCACATGGTTCAGCACGCAAAGTTCAATCCGTGCAAACTTCAAGGCGGAACAAAATTAAGCTCGCAAAGCTTAGCACGCGAATTTCGGCCTGCAAAGCTGGGCCCGTGACAGTTGCAATCGGTTGACAGTTGAATTGAATTGCGTTCTATTGCGAGCACGTTATAATGCGGAAAGTTCAATGCGCAAAGTCGAACGCGCAAAGTTTGATGCGGAGGAATTGGATATGCAAAGATTAGCACGCGAAGTTAAACGCGCGAAGTTGGATGCAGAAGAAAATTCAACGCGCAAAGTTCAACGCGTAAAGGTTATTGCTGCATAAAATTAGATATGCAAATCTCAACACGCAAAGTTTAGCGTACAAAGTTGGGGCCGCAACACAACTCAACACACAAGGCCCAGCACGCAAACTGCAATCTGTGCAAACTTCAAGGCGGAACAAATTTAAGGTCGCAAAGCATAGTACGTAAATTCGCGCACGGTGTGCAAAGTTGAACACGCAGTCACAAGTCGACGTGCAAAGTCTGAGGTGCGCACAAAGGAAAGTCGAACACGCTCATTTAAACGTGCAAACTTGAAGATGGAACAAAATTAAGCTCATAAAGGCTAGCACGCAGATCTCAGCCTGCAAAGTTTGGCCGGTGACAGTTGCAATCGGTTGACAGTTGAATTGAATTGCGTTCTATTGCAAGCACGGTATAATGCGGAAAGTTCAACGCGCAAAGTCTAACGCGCAAAGTTTGATGCGGAGGAATTGGATATGCAAAGATTAGCACGCGAAGTTAAACGCGCGAAGTTGGATGCACAAGAAAATTCAACGCGCAAAGTTCAACGCGTAAAGGTTTTTGCTGTATAAAATTAGATATGCAAAGCTCAGCACGCAAAGTTTAGCGTACAAAGTTGCTATGTGACGAAGCGTGTACGGCAGTAATTCCGATGCGGAAGCTGCAAACCGATACGACCATAGCCGATACGAACATTGCGCGTTCAAGCACGCGTTGAAACGCACGTCGATTTGCATGCTGAAGCGCGTGTTGAATTCCGCGTCAAATTATATGTTGAATTGCGTGTGGAATTGCGCGTCTAAAACTGTGTTTCGGTGCGCGGTTGCACTCTTGCGCTCTAACGTTTGCGCGTCGAAGTGCGCGTGTGACTTTGTGTGTTCAATCTTGCACGGTGAGCTGTGTGTAAACGTTTGCTGCGCGTTGAAGTTTGGATGTCGAGCCTTACATGTCGGGCTTCGTGCGTTGAACTGAGGAATATAGTAGTTAAACGTGCAAAGTTCGGCAGCAGTTTGCGCGTCGAAAGTTGCGTGTTGAAGGTTGCACGTTGAAGTTTGCGATGTGCTATCGCTGCATATCGCATATCGCATAATATGCATATGTGCATATCAAGCATCTGAAGCATACGAAGCATTTGAAGCAGATCATGCATATGTGCGTGTGTCGAAGTTTGCACGTTGAAGTTTGCGATCTGCTATCGCTGCATATCGCAGATCGCATAACATGCATATGTGCATATCAAGCATATGAAGCATATGAAGCATATCATGCATATGTGCGTGTGCACGTATCGTGAAGTGCGTGTGTTGAAGTTTGAACGTTGAAGTTTGCGATCTGCTATCGCCATATCGCATATCGCATCATATGCTTGATATGTGCATATCAAGCATCTGAAGCATATCATGCATAAGTGCGTGTGCACGTATCGTGAAGTGCGTGTGTTGAAGTTTGCACGTTGAAGTTTGCGATCTGCTATCGCTGCACATTGCATATCGCATATGATGCATATGTGCATATGAAGCATATGAAGCATACGAAGCATATGAAGCATATCTTGCATATGTGCATATGAAGCATATGAAAAATTTGCGCGCTGAAGTTTGTGATTCGGTGCGTCACGCATAACGGCGACAGCAAAAAAGAAAGAAAAGACGCGCGCGCGCTGGGGATCGAACCGGCGACGTGGTGGACAGATAGACAGACTAGAGCGCGCTGTTCGCGCGAGTGGGCCGTAGCTCCTGTGCTGGCTGATGGCTGTTTCCTGCATTGCGCGAACAGTATGTGTCGTGCTTGCAGATCGCAGATGCTTGCAGATCGCAGATGCTTGCAGATCGCAGATGTCTGCACATCGAATGTGGCATATGCTTGCAGATCGCATCTGGCATATGCTTGCAGATCGCATATGCTTGCACATCGGATGTGGCATATGCTTGCAGATCGCATCTGGCATATGCTTGCAGATGGCATATGCTTGCAGATGGCATATGCTTGCAGATCGCATATGCTTGCAGATCGCATATGCTTGCAGATCGCATATGCTTGCAGATCGCATATGCTTGCACATCGAATCTGGCATATGCTTGCAGATCGCATATCCTTGCACATCGAATGTGGCATATGCTTGCAGATCGCATCTGGCATATGCTTGCAGATCGCATATGCTTGCACATCGAAGGTGGCATATGCTTGCAGATCGCATATGCTTGCAGATCGCATATGCTTGCACATCGAATCTGGCATATGCTTGCAGATCGCATATGCTTGCACATCGAAGGTGGCATATGCTTGCAGATCGCATATCCTTGCACATCGAATGTGGCATATGCTTGCAGATCGCATCTGGCATATGCTTGCAGATCGCATATGCTTGCACATCGAAGGTGGCATATGCTTGCAGATCGCAGATGCTTGCAGATCGCAGATGTCTGCACATCGAATGTGGCATATGCTTGCAGATCGCATCTGGCATATGCTTGCAGATCGCATATGCTTGCACATCGGATGTGGCATATGCTTGCAGATCGCATCTGGCATATGCTTGCAGATGGCATATGCTTGCAGATCGCATATGCTTGCAGATCGCATATACTTGCAGATCTCATATGCTTGCAGATCGCATATGCTTGCACATCGAATCTGGCATATGCTTGCAGATCGCATATCCTTGCACATCGAATGTGGCATATGCTTGCAGATCGCATCTGGCATATGCTTGCAGATCGCATATGCTTGCACATCGAAGGTGGCATATGCTTGCAGATCGCATATGCTTGCAGATCGCATATGCTTGCACATCGAATCTGGCATATGCTTGCAGATCGCATATGCTTGCACATCGAAGGTGGCATATGCTTGCAGATCGCATATGCTTGCAGATCGCATATGCTTGCACATCGAATCTGGCATATGCTTGCAGATCGCATATCCTTGCACATCGAATGTGGCATATGCTTGCAGATCGCATCTGGCATATGCTTGCAGATCGCATATGCTTGCACATCGAATGTGGCATATGCTTGCAGATCGCATCTGGCATATGCTTGCAGATCGCATATGCTTGCCGATCGCATATGCTTGCAGCTCGCATATGCTTGCAGGTCGTATATGCTTGCAGATCGCATATGCTTGCACATCGAATGTGGCATATGCTTGCAGATCGTATCTGGCATATGCTTGCAGATCGCATATGCTTGCACATCGAATGTGGCATATGCTTGCAGATCGTATCTGGCATATGCTTGCAGATGGCATATGCTTGCCGATCGCATATGCTTGCAGATCGCACATGCTTGCAGATCGCATATGCTTGCAGTTCGCATATGCTTGCACATCGAATGTGGCATATGCTTGCAGATCGCATCCGGCATATGCTTGCAGATCGCAACTGGCATATGCGTGCAGATCGCATATGCTTGCACATCGAATGTGGCATATGCTTGCAGATCGCATCTGGCATATGCTTGCAGATGGCATATGCTTGCAGATCGCATACGCTTGCAGATCGCATATGCTTGCAGATCGCATATGCTTGCACATCGACGAATGTGGCATATGCTTGCAGATTGCATCTGGCATATGCTTGCAGATCGCCTATGCTTGCAGATCGTATATGCTTGCAGATCACATATGATTGCACATCGCATGTGGCATATGCTTGCATATGAAGCATTTGTGCATATGTGCATATGTGCATATGAAGCATATGTGCATATGTGCATATGTGCATATGTGCATAGGAAGCATATGTGTGTATGTGCATATGTGCATATGTGCATATGTGTATATGCGCATATGTGCATATGTGCTATTGCATATGAAGCATATGAAGCATATGAAGCATACGAAGAAAAAAAAAGAAAAAAAAAGCGCGCAAAAAAAAGACGCGCGCGCGCTGGGGATTGAACCGGCGACGCGGTGGACAGACAACAGACAGACGGACGGCGACTCGGCCCAAGGCCTCCGCTCCAAAAGTCGCTACGGCTACGAAGAAAAAAAAAGAAAAAAAAAGCGCGCAAAAAAAAGACGCGCGCGCGCTGGGGATTGAACCGGCGACGCGGTGGACAGACAACAGACAGACGGACGGCGACTCGGCCCAAGGCCTCCGCTTCAAAAGTCGCTACGGCTACTAGAGCGCGCTTTTCGCGCAAGTGGGCCGTAGCTCCGTAGCATAGCGTAGCACATAGCGTAGCATAGCATAGCGTAGCATAGCGTTACATAGCATAGCTATGATCGCATATGCTTGCATATCGCATATGCTTGCAAATCGAATGTGGTATATGCTTGCAGATCGCATCTGGCATATACTTGCAGATCGCATATGCTTGCAGATCGCATATGCTTGCACATCGAATGTGGCATATGCTTGCAGATCGCATATGCTTGCAGATCGCATATGCTTGCAGATCACATATGCTTGCAGATCGCATATGCTTGCACATCGAATGTGGCATATGCTTGCAGATCGCATCTGGCATATGCTTGCAGATCGCATATGCTTGCAGATCGCATATGCTTGCAGATCACATATGCTTGCAGATCGCATATGCTTGCACATCGAATGTGGCATATGCTTGCAGATCGCATATGCTTGCAGATCGCATATGCTTGCAGATCACATATGATTGCACATCGCATGTGGCATATGCTTGCATATGAAGCATTTGTGCATATGAAACACTATGTGCATATGTGCATACGAAGCATATGTGCATATGTGCATATGTGCATATGTGCATATGTGCATATGTGCATATGTGCATATGTGCATATGTGCATATGTGCATATGTGCATCCGAAGCATATGTGCATATGTGCATATGTGCATATGAAGCATATGAAGCATATGAAGCTGCACATCGCATGTGGCATATGCTTGCATATGAAGCATTTGTGCATATGAAACACATGTGCGCATGTGCATATGAAGCATAGGTGCATATGTGCATATGTGCATATGAAGCATAGGTGCATATGTGCATATGTGCATATGAAGCGTGTATCAAGCGTGTACGGCATTACTGTTATGTAACAGAAGACTGCATCTGCTTGCAGATTGCATATGCTTGCAGATCGCATAGGCTTGCATATCGCATATGCTTGCACATCGAATGTGGCATATGCTTGCAGATCGCATCTTGCATATGCTTGCAGATCGCATATGCTTGCAGATCGCATATGCTTGCACATCGAATGTGGCATATGTGCATATGTGCATATGAAGCATATGTGCATATGTGCATATGTGCATATGTGCAGATGAAGCATATGTGCATATGTGCATATGTGCATATGTGCATCTTAAGCATATGTGCATATGAAGCATATGAAGCATATGAAGCATATGAAGCATATGAAGCATATGAAGCATACGAAGAAAAAAAAGAAAAAAAAGCGAGAAAAAAAATAGACGCGCGCGCGCTGGGGATTGAACCGGCGACGCTGAAGACAGACGGAGGGACGGAGAGACGGACGGAGAGACGGACAGCGAATCGGCCTAAGGCCTCCGCTTTCCTACTTCGTAGGAGCTACGGCTACGGACGGCGAATCGGCCTAAGGCGTCCGCTTACCCACTACGTGGGAGCTACGGCGACTCCGCTTACCCACTACGTGGGAGCTACGGCGATGAGCTACGCCGACTCGGGATAGGCCTCCGCTGAAAAATTTGCGCGCTGAAGTTTGTGATTCGGTGCGTCACGCATAACGGCGACAGCAAAAAAGAAAGAAAAGACGCGCGCGCGCTGGGGATCGAACCGGCGACGTGGTGGACAGACAGACAGACGGACGGCGAATCGGCCTAAGGCGTCCGCTTACCCACTACGTGGGAGCTACGGCGACTCCGCTTACCCACTACGTGGGAGCTACGGCGATGAGCTACGCCGACTCGGGATAGGCCTCCGCTGAAAAATTTGCGCGCTGAAGTTTGTGATTCGGTGCGTCACGCATAACGGCGACAGCAAAAAAGAAAGAAAAGACGCGCGCGCGCTGGGGATCGAACCGGCGACGTGGTGGACAGACAGACAGACGGACGGCGAATCGGCCTAAGGCGTCCGCTTACCCACTACGTGGGAGCTACGGCGATGAGCTACGCCGACTCGGCATAGGGCTCCGCTCATAACATATGAGCTACGGCGACACGCGAACTCGAGATAGGCCTCTGCTCATAACATATGAGCTACGGCGACTCGGGATAGGCCTCCGCTCACTCATAACATATGAGCTACGGTGATAGGCCTCCGCTCATAACATATGAGCTACGGCGATGTTGGGGTAAGGTCTCCGTTCCGACGACGGAATGACTATCATCATTCACGTCTATGTCGGAACTACAACTATTTGTCCGCCTGCTGGTGGCAAGTCGGAATGCCCATGCAGGCAAATTGTAACACAAGCTGGGTGTTCAAGTTATCATACACTGTCATCTCAGAATTTAATTATGAGATACACGGCACCTTTTGAGATGAAATTTAGCCCGAGAGGTGTTGATGTGACTATGAGCTCGGTCAATGGAGGCAGCCAAAGTTGTTTGTGCTCATACGATCTTTGTTAGCTACATGCGAGATATCTTGCAATAGAGAATGCTATATAGTACGGATAACGTGTTTTCAGCCAGGTGAAATATTATGTTTGGTCCGTTACACACTCAAGGCCTGGGAGTTCGAGTTATCATACGCCGTCATCTAAGAATTCAAATATAAGATGCACAGTACCTTTTGAGATTAAAGTTAGCCTGAGAGGTGTTGACACACACACACACACGGAAATGGGCAATCCTACAGGTCGGGGCCCCCCTGGGTGCTTCACGCTGGGGCCCCGCCCAAAAAAAGGAACTCTTGCCAGTTTAAATGGGGGGGACTAACGGCTCAACTCGACTGTAATCACAAACTTAGATGCTTAGTTCTCCATACTGACATTCTCCTTTCACTTCATCAATTGCTTATACTTTACTGTTGCAACAACTAGCAACGTGTGGGCAATTTGCACTGTACGACTGATGCAAGAAAACAAACCGTTTCAATCATTGGAAAAGGCACACAGCCCACATGCTTGCTAATGCCAGCCGATAAAAACTTTCGCCTAAAGCTTTCCAAGAACAAGGGGCAGGAGAGGGGGGAAAGTGCGGGGAAGTGGGGCGGCAGCCCCACGACCCTGCACATCCCCCCCAAGACCACTTGGCCACCGACAGGCAATCATGATAGGGATGAGCGGGAGCCAAAGGAAACACTTAAAAGCATTATATCAACTCTCTATATACATACATAAACTCACACCACACACACAATACACTGTAGCAGCCGGTACACAGTACGGTGCTATAAATACGCGCAGAGCGCGACCGCCAGCAACTCGAGAGACCTTTTCAGCGGTCAGCTGCTACATTTGGTATCGAGACCTCGTGAAAAATCACGATCCTGAAGTCGTCGGTTCTACCCCCACCGATTACGTTCGAGTGGTATTTCGGGAGTGGCGACTCAGTGAGCGATTATCGCTCAAACAACTATAAAAGTAGCTGAACCGACTGGATTGTCTCTGTGCCTGAAAAACCTGAAGGCTAGGCGCATGAAGGGCGGCATGACGTGACGTGGGCCTGGCCACCCCACTGCCCGAGGGTAGGCGAAGGTAGGCACAGGCTGGCGGTATATGAGGCTCTAAGGGCCCGGGACGGTGCCCTTCAAAGGGGGGGAATGTAGCAGCCGGTACACAGTACGGTGCTATAAATACGTGCAGAGCGCGACCGCCAGCAACTCGAGAGACCTTTTCAGCGGTCAGCTGCTACATACACACACTGCCACCCCCCTCCCTCCCTCCTCCCTACCGCATTCATGTCAATGGCCAGCTGTATCACCCCCAGATCCACCACTCGCCGCAGCCGGAATATGGACTCGTGCAGACGGGGTATGAACATCTGCGGCACCTTGTCGCACAAGAAGGACAGATTGGCGGCCTCCAGACAGGAGCCGAGACGGAAGGCGCAGTCCAACAGCACCTGGGGGCGGGTGGATGAGGCAGGGGGAAAGACGAACCACGAACAAGTGAAGCTGCTGCCAGGGCAATGGTGTACCAGGAGTAGAACTGACCAAAAGGCGTTCTTGAAGGCGGCGACCTCGGGATGACGTAGTGAAGAGGATGTCAGGAAATCCTACCTAGCCGCCAAGATAAACACGAGAGAATAGCCGTAAAGAAGTAAAGGTACATGTATACATGTGGGCAGATAATTGGTAAAGAATTGCTGACGTGAAGCTGGAATAAAGTTTGGCGGCATAGATGATGATTGGTGGAGAACTGGCTGATATGCTGGTAATAAAAAGCTGATGGTGACATGCAAGTGCTTCTCCCAACCCCCCAAAAATAAGCGCAACCGACCCGACCAACCCGACTATCCGGCTAGCCGACCGACGCAACGCGAAA